GGAAATGACTTCACGACTGAGCTAAAAGGGTGTCTGGGGCCATACTCTTGGGGCTTCTCCAGTCTCCTTTAGGCCAGTAAATCTGGTCTTTTTTTTGTGAGTAAGAATTTTGTTCTACATCCTTCTCCAGCTCTGTCCAGAACCCCCTGTTGTGGCTATATCATTTTTGGAAAGTAACATCTATTGAAATATAAATTGTGCAGACCTATTAGGGAATCTACATAAATGTGAACAACACAAGATGTAACTATACAACCCACTCATGCACCCACACAAATGCACTGGGGTGTGGAGAGGGTATTGAAGCACTCCAGGCCTGCAGAGATTCAGGTGTGGGAGACAGAAATCAATGTATTTAAAATGTATATTTACATAAGAAGTATAGATTCTGAACAAAGTGAGAAATAAAACATAGGAGAATGTTCCAGTTAGCTATTGTTGCATACCAAACCTCCCCAAACTCAGTGGTATAAAATAATCATTTTATTATGCTCATGAATTCTGTGGGTCAGGAATTCAAACAGTAGAAATGGCTTTTCTCTGCCCCATAATGTCTGGGGCCTTGGCAGACACCCAATTTTTTCCAAATTGAACAGTGAGGGTGATTCATATGGCTGAGGGCTGAAATCATCTGGAGGCTTCTTTACTAACAAGTCTGGTTTATGGGCTGGGATGACCCAAAAGATGAGCTCAGCTGAGGCTGTCATTTGGAGCATCTAAACGTGACCTCTCCATGTGGCTGGGGTTTCTCCTCACTTGGTGCCTGGAGTCCAGGAGGGAGCATCCCAAGTAGGAGCATCTAGAGAGTGAACATTACAGAGAACGCAGCAGAAGCTGCAAAGCTCCTTCAGACCAAACCTCAGAATATGTAACCAGATTCTATCACTCACAAGCAATTCCCAAGGGCCAATCCAAATTCAAGATGCTCTTGCTTGGAACCCAGTTGTCATGATGTGAGGAACCCCAAGCCACAAGGATAGGCCACGTGGAGATGCTCCAATCGACTGTCCCAGCTGAGCCCAGGCTTTGAGTTATCCCAGCCCCAATGCCAGACATGTGAGTGAACCAGCTTTCAGATGTTTCAAGCTCCAAGCTATTCAAATCACCCCCAGCCATTCAAGCCTTTCCAACTGAGGCCCTGGACTTTGTGGAGCAGAGACAAGCCATCCCTGCTATGCCCTGTCCAAATTACTGACCCACAGAATTTGTAAACATAATAAAATGGTTGTTGTGTTTAATTTTTTTTTGAAAAGATAAAAATACACCTAAAAATCTCACAAAATAATAATAATAACTATTATTATTACAACTGCTAATATTGAGTACTTTATGTGCCAGATACATAGTGTAAGGTTTTATATACACTATCATATTTAGTCAACACAGTATTCCCATGAGGAAGATACTATTTTTTATTTCCATTCTACAGACGAAGAAGCTGAGGCAATAGAAATAAATAACTTCCCCAAATTAGAAAGTTTTGGAGCAGAGATTTGATTTCAGTTTGTCTAGTTCTGGAGGCCATAGGCACTAAGCATACTGCCTCAATACACTAACACAGCTATTTTTATTTTTATGTATTATCTTCCAGATGTTGTCCATATGCACACATATTTTACATAGCTGTAATTACAGTATACAGAAATATTTGTATACTGATCTCTTAAAATACTATTTACATTTCTTATATTTCTGCATAGTTTTCATAATCATCATTTTAATAGCTGCTTAATTTGTTAATTACTAATGTTGACTTGCTGTAATTGTGCAAATAATTACACTATTGTTAGTGTTTGCATTATTTACAAATTTCTTAAGTTAGTAAAGATGGCATTGCAATGTACACATTTATGCCTTTTGTAGAATTATTTCTTTGTATTAATTCTTAGAAGAGCAATTAATGGATCAAAGACAATTTTAATAGTTTTCACTAAAAGTATTGCTTTAATTTCTAAAATATGTAGTGATGTGGAAAGTAGCTGAACGAATTCACTAAATTTTCTACAAGCTTGATAGCATAGGGTACTATAATTTTTAAATGCTTGCTAATTTAGTAGATGTGAGATGAATATTTAACTCATTATTGGTTGAACTATGTGCAAAGCAAGGGCTCACGCATCACAGGAAATATTTGAGGGGTGAACCAGGTACTTAATTACAGGAGATCAAAACCTATTAAGAGGAATAACACAAGTAAACAAATTATTATAATACAAGGCAGAAAAGATAAATTATGTTAAAGCAATGCCAAAAAAAAAAAAGGTAGGAAAGATTACCTCCAGTAGAGGAGTACAGGAAAGACTTCAAAGATAAGGTTTTGCAGTGGGTCTTAAAAGAGAGCTAGCAACTCAAAGAAGCAGATAGGGCAGGAGCAGAATTGTGAGCAAAAGGGAGAGAATGAGTAAAATGAGGATGCAGAACAGTGTGGTGAGTTTAGCGAACAGCTGTGATTGGTCCATAAACTCACAGAGTTAAAGTCAAGGGAGAGAATGGTATAAAGGCTGAGAGTTTGAAGCTGTCAGGTTGAGAACTTGGGAATCCACTGAATGCTTTATAGCACTAGCATGATTTTCCCTGTATTTGCATTTGAGTCATCTGGGAAACTGTGCATTTAAATGAGTGAGAAAGGAGACAGAGAAACTGATTTGAAGGTGACTTGCAACTTTTTAGATTTTTAAAGATATTAGAACCTGAACTATGGTGGCGTAGTATAAATTGTCAAGAAGGGACAGACAAGAAAGACATTTTAGAGATGGAATCACCAAGGCTTAGCAACGCAGATGTGTAGGGTGAAGGGCAAGAGGGATGAGAAGATGCAGTTGAGATTTGAATTTGAGGGTAATAGGAGACTAATGATGCATTAAGAGAAACAGGAAATTCAGAATACATAACTGGCTTTGTACAGAGAAAGAAAGAAAAAAGCATGGGTATGGAACATGTTGAGTTCCTTTGCTCTTTCATTTCTTCTTATTTGAAGTAGGCTAACACTAGCTGTGGTAAATTATGAGAAGAATACACACAAATCCCTCATTGATTGGCTTTGAAGTTGCTTATCTTGTAATAGAGAAAATCACATATGGAGCTAAAACCTAAGTTAGAGAGAGAGAAGTGTAAAAACAGAGGCCTGGGGAAGGGTTTTATGAGCTCACATGCCATTTTCTATTACTTTTAACAAAAACAGGTGGAGGGTCCTTCTATGCTTGGGAATATTCTCCACCTGCCAATGATTCCCCCTGCCCAATTCTACCATCTCTTCCCCCTTATGACCAGAGCTTGTGTTTTGTTTTCTTTATGATAAACATTTCACCCAAACCACGGAACATGTGTGCCCTGAAATTGTCAGCTGCTTAATCCCTGATAAGGGGCACTGGGAACAATCCAGGGTAGACACAAGAGATAAGCCTTAGGGAAAGTCTGACTCTATGACACAAAGTACTTTCCTACTCTTTGCTTTTTTTTCTAGGAATCATTTTCAGTCGTGGAGAGAGGTGGAAGCAAATGAGGCGGTTCTCCCTCATGACCCTGAGGAACTTTGGAATGGGGAAGAGAAGCATTGAGGAGAGGGTCCAGGAGGAAGCCCAGTACCTTGTGGAGGAGCTCAGGAAAACAGAGGGTGAAACTCACTGATTGTCCCTTTGGGAGCAAGGAGTTCCTACACACACTACCTTACACACTCCTCCTTTGGGAGTTACTCTTTGGCCCAGGGAGTTATCTAGGAGAAAAGGGGTGGGCAGAAAATGATCTTCAAAACTATTAGCCAGGACTCTGGAATCCTTTTGTATTGATTCATTTCCCAAATTGAGCACTCACTAGTGTGTAAATTTGGACAAGTTGCTTAGCTTCTCTAAGACCCATTTTACTCATCTAAAAAATGGGGCTATGAATCAAACCTCAGAATGAGGATTAAATAATATACACATAAAACATTTACATAGTGCCCAAACCAAAACCCACTGCTGTTGAGTCAATTCTGACTCATAGTGACACGATAGGACCGAGCAGAACTGCCCCATAGGGTTTCCAAGGCTGTAATCTTTATGGACACAGACTGTTACATCTTTCTCCCACAGAATGGCTGGTGGGTTCAAACGGCTGATCTTTCAGTTAGTAGCCAAGTGCTTAACCACTGCACCACCAGGGCTCCTTACACAGTGCCAAGCATGTAGTAAATACTTTATAATGTTACTTGTTGCTATTATTAGATTACGGAGTCCCTGGGTAGTGCAAATGGTTAACACACTCAGCTGCCAACTAAAAGGTTAGAGTCCACTCAGAGGCACCTTGGAAGAAAGGCTTGGCAGTTACTTCTAAAAAGTCAGTCATTGAAAACCCTGTGGATCACAGTTCTACTCTGGCACACGTGGGGTCACCATGACTCAGAATCAACTTGACAGCAACTGGTACTGGTTATTATTAAATCATAGTATTCATATAACACTATAGTATATGTTATTAATAGTATAATACTATATAGCAATAAACTATATGTACTAATCTGAAAGGAGAGAAGCCTAGTTCTTGAAATTGTAATACAGGATGATTAAATTTCTAATGTTTGAGTTGTTCTTTTCTTACATCAGCTCAACCCTTTGACCCCACTTTCATCCTTTCCTGTGCTCCTTGCAACACCATCTGCTCCATTCTCTTCAATGAGCATTTCCAGTACCGTAATGAGAAATTCCTCTACCTGATGAATTTATTAAATGAAAATTTTAGGCAAATAAACTCTCCGTGGAACCAGGTAAGTCCAAGACTGTATCTGCATTTGTGGTTGCTCTCACTGATCCAATTACTGGTAGTCTTCAAGGTAAAGGCTATGAGCTCCTAATTCACTCCATGAGCAAAGTGTCAACATGAGCACAATGAGTACAATGTCACTTAACCTGGCTTCTATGGAAGATTGCCCTCTGCTTCCCTCCATGAGTTTACTCCCCAGAAGAAGGCAGAACATTCCATTACCTATGTTTCTTTTAAGGTCCCTAAGCGTATTTACTCCCTTTATGACTGTGGGATTGGCCAAAGGTGGACTGAGCAAGCAGATGGGAAAGAGTTGCTCTCTTGTATGTGATGATCATGGTCCCCTCTCTTCTGCTTGGAAGCTCGGGAAGGGATACTGCCTGGCCAGATGGCACAGAGGGTTAGGCATTCCATTCATAATCACTGGTCTATTTTCACAAACTGAATTTCTTGCATACTTTTTTCCATTTTTAGATTTATAATCTCTGGCCAACTCTCATAAAACATCTTCCTGGAGAGCACAGAACATTCTCTAAAAGACTTAATGGTGTTAAGTATTTTGTACTGGAAAAAGTGAAAGAGCATCAAGAGTCTCTGGATCATAATAACCCTCGGGACTTCATTGATTGTTTCCTCAGCAAGATGGAGGAGGTACTATATGCAGTGTCTTTCCCTGATACTTTATCATTCCATGGAAGTGCATGAAAGCATAATCACACCATGTAGGTAATTCTCGATATTTCCATACCTTACATCAATGGAGGACACTGTTCTCATTAATAATGTTGTTATTGTTAGTTGCCATCAAGTCAGCTGTGACTCATGGCAACCTTATGTATAACAGAACAAAATGTTGCTGGTCCTATGCCATCTTCATGATCATTGGTATGTTAGTGTACATGGTTGCAGCTATTGTGTTAGTCCATCTCATTTTATTTTCTATAACCCTTTACTTTACCAAACATAATGTCCTTTTTCAGTGATTGGTTTTTCCTGATAACATGTCTAAAGTAAGCAGGTCAAAGTCCCTTTAACTCATGTGGCCATTAACTCTACCATCATCAGGAGAAAAACAACACGGAGTCTGAATTTGTTTTGGAGAACTTGGTCACCTGTGCAAGTAATTTGTTTGCGGCAGGAACAGAGACAACCAGTAGCACCCTGAGATTTGGGCTCCTGCTCTTGATGAAACACCCTGAAGTGGAAGGTACAGCAAATATCCTACCAACAAAAGGAAAGATGAGATCAGGGCACTGAAGGAGGGTGGGGAGACACTGCAGTCAATGGGCTTCGCCTTCTCTGGGCTGCCTTGTAGAGCAACATGCAAACGGCCATTCCTTGTGGTTTTGCATTTGTAGATCAGAATCATGTCTGATGATGCTGAAAAGAAATAGGGGTCTTTTAAGAACTCAAAGACTTTTATTTCAGCTTAAAAACAGAGGGGAGCATCTGAATCCCAAATATTATATATGAGATGCAATGCCAGAGAACAAAAAAAAAAAAGAAAAAAAAACACAAAAAACCACGCCCTCGAGTCAATTCCAACTCATAGCGACCCTATAATTAGATGAGGGACACATGGGTTCCCATGATGAATTCTCATCCTGGGCCTGCCAATACCTGACTATGTGACTGCAAATGAATTATTTTATCTTGTTTAAAGCAACCTCTGTTTTCCCATCTTGAAAATGGACCAGACTCCCCAAAGGAGATTTCTAGCTCCAAAAAAATTTGAAATTTAAATATGAAACCGTATTAGCTAGATTTTCTAAAGAATACTCTCAGAGCACAACTTTAGGAAGCAAGTGTTTATATTGCTCAACAAAATGGTATTTTCTGGTCCCACAAAACATGTAGGAGAGTGTGTAAATCTGACAAGGAGAATACTCCCACTAGAGGGTAGGTTAAACATTTTCTCTGTATAGGTGCTTTGCCAAGAACTGGGGGGGAAGCCATAATCCCTTCCACACAGGTCCTCTCCTCACCTGTACAAGAGAACAAACCTATTAAAGGAGGAGGCTGAGGACGTACTCAACCCAGACTTTGTTTCTTGCAGCAAAGTTCCTTGCAATAAAGTCCCTTTATTGGCCTATGACGGAGCCCTGGTGGCTTAGTGGTTAAGAGCTCAGGCTGCTAACCAAAAGGTCAGTAGTTCAAATCCCCCAGCCACTCCTTGGAAGCCTTATGGGGCTGTTCTATCTGTCCTATGGGGTCGCGATGAGTCAGAATCTACTCAATGGCACTCAACAACAATACAACATTGGCCTATGATAGCAAACTAAACAACAGAAAATTCATCAGGAGCAAAGCAATGAGCTGCTTAGCAACTGCCTTTGGCCTCCAGGACTCTTTTCTAGGCCACTTTCTGTCACACATTGCAAGCATTTCCAGGTCTCCAGGGAACACATCCCTGAGTAGCACTTATGATTCATGTCTCTGCAGCCAAAGTTCATGAAGAAATTGACCATGTGATTGGACGCAACCAAAGCCCCTGCATGAAGGACAAGATGAAGTTACCCTATACAGATGCCGTGTTGCATGAGATACAAAGATTCATCACCCTCCTTCCTTGTAGCTTACCCCATACTGTGATCCGGGACACAAAATTCAGACAATTCATCATCCCCAAGGTCAGATATGTCTGGGAAAGCTGACTGGGATAGTAGGGGTGCCATGGTACCTCAAGGGGCACGTGAGAGGGCTCATCAGTTCTGCTGCAGGAAGAGAGGCAGTTGAGAGTCACAGAAAGAACATAGGCCAGAGTCACTTAACCTGGGTTTGAAATCTGCTACTGTGATACAATGAGCCCTCAGGCCAGTCCATTGGCTCTGGAGGCCTTTTTCTGCCTTCCTAGAATGGAGGAGGCTGGTGTAGGGCTTCCAGGGCCCCTTGCCACTCTGAAGTCAAATGTATTAAGTGAGCAGTGATTCTGATTAATAAGGATCTCTTTGGAACTGAAATCTGATTTTTTCATGATGGATTTAAAAAAGGGAGCAGGGACGGGAAATGTGCCTGCAGCCCAAGCAAATTCTCACTCTCTGTTAATTCAAATTATCTCCTGCCAGGACTTCATATACCATTTGAGATATTGCTGCCCCTGACATTTAACATGCATAGAGCACTTAGTGTTTGTCAAAATGTTTTCATGCATACTGGGGATGTAGTCAGTCTTGTGTAGTGATTAAGGGCTTGGGTATTACATTTAAATAGTTCTAGAACATAGAAGAGAAAAAAAAGATGCCAAAACTGACCGAAATACTACACAACAGAGATGACACCCTAATCTCACAAATGTCAGTGTAGAAGTCTATTAACACTTAAGGTTTAGCGTCACATTAAAAAATATTATACCATTAACATATGAATATTATATCAGCAACACAAGAATGGTTCAACACCAGGAGATCCAGTTTAAGAAAATTCATCATATAAATAGAATTTAGGAGAAAAATCACATGATTATGTCATTCCACCATGGTCTGTCATTTTCTTGTACTGTGGTGGTTTGTGTGTTGCTAAGATACTGGAAGCTTTGCCACCATTAGTTCAAATACCAGCAGGGTGACCCTTTGTGGACAGGTTTCAGCTAAGCTCCCAGACTGAGACAGAGTGGGAAGAAGGACCTGGCACTTCTGAAAAATTGGCCAGTGAAAACCTTATGAATAGCAGCAGAACATTGTCTGACATAGTGCTGGAAGATGAACTCCTGAGGTTGGAAGGCACTCAAAATACGACTGGGGAAGAGCTGCCTCCTCAAAGTAGAGTCGACCTTAATGACATAGATGGAGTCAAGATTTCAGGACCTTCGTTTGCTGATGTGGCACGACTCAAAATAAGAAGAAACAGCTGCAAGCATCCATTAATAATCAGAACGTGGAACGTATGAAGTATGAGTCTAGGAAAGTTGGAAATCATCAAAATGAAACGCACACATAAAGATTGATATCCTAGGCATTAGTGGGCTGAAATGGACTGGTATTAGCCATTTTGAATCAGACAATCATATGGTCTACTATGCCAGGAATGACAAATTCAAGAGGAATGGCGTAGCGTTCATTGTCAAAAAGAACATTTCAAGATCTATCCTGAAGTACAACGTTGTCAGTGATAGGATAATATCCATATGCCTACAAGGAATACCAGTTAATCCAGCTATTATTCAAATGTACACACCAACCACTAATGCCAAGTATGAGGAAATTGAAGATTTTTACCAACTTCTGCAGTCTGAGATTGATCAAACATGCAATCACAATGCACTGATAATTACTGGTGATTGGAACGCAAAAGTTGGAAACAAAAAAGGATCGGTAGTTGGAAAATATAGCCTTGGTGATAGAAACGATTCCAGAGATCACATGAAAGAATTTTGCAAGACCAACAACTTACTCACTGCAAATACCTTTTTAAAAACAATGTAAATGGCAGCTGTACATGTGGACCTCACCAGATGGAAAACACAGGAATCATAGACTATATCTGTGAAAGAGATGATGGAAAAACTCAATACATCAGTCAGAACAACGCCAGGGGCCGACTGTAGAACAGACCATCAATTACTCAGATGTAAGTTCAAGTTGAAGCTGAAGAAAATGAAAACAAGTCCGTGAGGGCCAAAATATGACCTTGAGTATATCCCACCTGAATTTGGAGACCATCTTGAGAAAAGATTTGATGCATTGAACGCTAATGATGACCAAAGACCACACGAGTTGTGGGAAGACATCAAGGACATCATATATGAAGAAAGCAAAAGGTTATTAAAAAGACAGCAAAGAAAGAAAAGACCAAAATGGGTGTCAGAAGAGACTCTGAAACTTGCTCTTGAACGTAGAGTAGCTAAAGCAAATGGAAGAAATGATGAAGTAAAAGAGCTGAACGGAAGATTTTAAAGGACACCTTAAGAAGACAAAGTCAAATATTATAAAGAAATGTGCAAAGACCTGGAGTTAGAAAACCAGATGGGAAGAACACACTCAGCATTTCTCAAGCTAAAAGAACTGAAGAAAAAATTCAAGCCTTGAGTTGCAATTTTGAAGGATTCTATGGGCAAAGTATTGAATGACGCAGGAAGCATCAAAAGCAGATAGAAGGAATACACAGAGTCACTGTACCAAAAAGAATTGGTCAATTTTCAATCATTTCAGGAGGTAGCGTATGATCAGTGGTACTCAAGGAAGAAGTCCAAGCTGCGCTGAAGGCACTGGCAAAAAACAAGTCTCCAGGAATGGATGTAATACCAACTGAGATGTTTCAACAAACAGATGCAGTCTGGAAATGCTCACTCATCCATGCCAAGAAATTTGGAAGACAGCTGCCTGGCCAACTAACTGGAAGAAACCCGTATTTGTGCCTATTCCTAAGAAAGGTGATCCAACAGAATGCTGAAATTAGAAAACAATATCATTAATATCACACACAAGTAAAATTTTGCTGGAGATCATTCAAAAGCAGTTGCAACAGTACATCAACAGGGAACTGCCAGAAATTCAAGCCAGATTCAGAAGAGGACATAGAATGAGGGATATCATTGCTGATATCAGATGAATTTGGGCTGGAGGCAGAGAATAACAGAAAGATATTTACCTGCGTTTTATTGACCATGCAAAGGCATTCACCTTTGTGGATCATAACAAATTACGGATAACATTGCAAAGAATGGGAATTCCAGAACACTTAATTGTGCTCATGCAGAAGCTGTACATAGACCAAGAGGCAGTCATTCAAACAGAACAAGGGGATACTGCATGGTTTAAAATCAGAAAAGGTGTGTGTCATGGTTGTATCCTTTCACTATAGTTATTCAATCTGTATGCTGAGCAAACAATCCAAGAACTTGTAGTATATGAAGAAGAACATGGCATCAGGGTTAGAGGGACTCATTAACAGCCTTTGATATGCAGATGACACACCCTTGCTTGCTGAAAGTGAGGATACTTGAAGCACTTACTGATGAAGATCAAAGACTACAGCTCTCAGTATGGATTACACCTCAACATAAAGAAAACAAAAATCTTCACAACTGGACCAATAAGCAACATCATGATAATATTGAAGTTGTCAAGGATTTAATTTTATTTGGATCCACAATCAATACCCATGGAAGCAGCGGTCAAGAAATCAAGGGACACATTATATTAGGCAAATCTGCTACGAGAGATTTCTTTAAAGTGTTAAAAAGCAAAGATGCCACTTTAAAGAATAAGGTGTGCCTGACCCCACTCGTGGTGTTTTCGACTGCCTCATATGTATGTGAAAGCTGGACAATGAATAAGGACGACCAAAGAAGAGTTGATACCTTTGGATTAGGGTATTGGCAAAGAATATTAAATATACCATGGACTGCCAAAAGAATGAACAAATCTGTCTTGGAAGAAGTACAACCAGAATGCTCCTTAGAAAAGAGGATGGCGAGACTTTGTCTCACATACTTTGGACATGTTATCAGGAGGGACCAGTCCCTGGAGAAGGACATCATACTTGGTAAAGTAGAGGGTCATTGAAAAAGAGGAAGACCCTCAACAAAATGGATTGACACAGTGACTGCAACAATAGGCTCAAACATAGCAATGATTATGAGGATACTGCAGAACTGGGCAGTGTTTCTTTCTGTTGTACACAGGGTCACCATGAGTCAGAAGCAACTTGCCTGCACCTAACAACAACAAAACCAGTTACCCTCAAGTCCATCCCAACTCATGGTGACCCCATGTGTGTCAGAGTAGGACTGTGCTGCATAGAATTTTCAATGGCTCATTTTTCAGAAGTACAGCACCAGCCCTTTCTTCTGAGGTGGTTCTGGGTGGACTCAAACCTACAAACTTTCAGTTAGCAGCCGAGCGTGTTAACTGTTTGCAGCATGCTGGGACTCTGGATTATTTAACATGTATTGGTAAACTCCCAGTGGAGATGGAAAAAAATACAGTAAAACCTGCAAAAGCCAGAACCTGTGTAAGGCAGAAACCTGTCAGAGAAGGAAAACTCACATTTTCTTTTCCACTAAAATGAGTGATAGAAAAGTGGTAAGACTGTACCCTGTCAAAGGTGGAAAACTTATGAGACCCAGAACAACCAGGCAGTCCTATTGAGTTCCAGCTCTCACAGGTTTCTCTGTAATAATAGATCCCTACCTCACACCTTACATGAAAATTTATTCTTGGTGGCTCAAATACGTACACATTGAATATTAAACTATAAATGTTCTAGGGTAAAGAGCAATAATTCTTTTGAGACTTTCAGAGAACAAAAGACTTTCTGACATTGACCAAAAGAAAAGTGAAACAAGAGGCTATATATTTAAGAATGAATAAATTTGACGACATGCAAATAAGAAAAATCTGCCCAAAAAAGAAACAGAGTCAAAAGACAAATGGCAAATTGAGGGAAAATTTTGCATAGTACATAAGAGCAAAGGATTAATTGCTGAAAAATAAAATCAGCTCCTACAATAAGTATGAACAAAACCCAAAAACCAATGTAGAAAGTGCAAAGGACACAAAATAAAAATTTGAGTGAAAGAAACTACAAATGGCTTTTAAATGTGTGGAAAGACATTTAGCGAAATAGAACATATTGAAAATAAAAATTACAAAAAGCATTTTTTACTTATAATATGTTGGCAAGATGTAAAAAAAAACTATATATTCTTACTCATAACATAAATTGGTGTAACCTCTAAGAAGGCAATGTGGCATCATCTATCAAAATTCAAAATACACATACACTTTGAAGAGCAGTTCCAATACTAGGAATGTATCCTTTTGTGTATATTTTACCAAAAACAATATACATTACAGAAATATTTGTGATACTTGAAGACTGGAAAAATATTTGTGATTTTTTTAAGACGTCCATCAAAATAAGACTGTTAAAAAATTCTGATATTTCTATACAGTGGGATACTAAGCAAGGTATAGAAGATTATGTATAGGATGCTACTATTTGTATAGCATGTGTGGGGGAATGTATGTGTGTGTGTGTGTTATATCTCAAAGGATATATTATAAACTGATAACAATAATTACACCGAAAAGGAAACCAAGGGGATTTGGACATAGGAAAGGGAGGGAGGCTTATTTTCACTTTATACTCTTTTATCCTTTTTTTTTTTTTTTTTACTTTTTATATCATTTACATGTATTATCTATTCCAATAATTGTACAATGTTTAAGGGAATATAAAATAAAGTAACAATGGATAAAGGAAGCTTTTACTTAATAGGGGCATTTTATGATCAAGTAGAATGTGGTTCAAATTCTAATTATGTCATTTGCTAAAAGTATAACCTCAAGCAAGTTATTTTACCTTTCTGAACCTCAGTTTCCTTGTTTATAAAATGTAAACAAAAAGAGCACCTACTGGATATGGTTGATAATGCGAATTAAATGAAAGCTACAAACAACTTAGCACAGTGTCAGGCAAATGTGAAGAGTCAAATATAAATGGTAGCTACCGTTATTATTTTGTCATATAACCTCACAGAAGTCTTACGAGGCAAGGAGGAAAGCTGCCTATTGTTATTACCCCTCCCCATTTTACAAGTGAGGGAAGTAGAACTCGATTGAGTAGATTCCACATGTCATTTTCTTTCATTCACATCTGAATCCCGGAAGAGAAAATTCCAAGAAAGTAAGCTCTTCATGTTTGAGGCAACAATGACAATAAAGCTGATCTCTAGACAATGTGTGTTGCACACCCCAGTTTTTCAACAACTGACCATAGCATCAGTCTTTACACAGAGAACTATCTTATTACTTCTAGATAAAAGGCAATGTATGATAGTGTGTATAAAATAGCCATAACTCAAGACAGTCCCTCACCAGGCAAGCTTAAAGGTGCTCAGTCCTACTAAAGCTGCTATAACTAAGAATGTTAAACTTGTTTATGAACCAAGGATAAGAATGATAAAATATCTCTCAACTCTATTTCTTGCTTCCAGGGTACTACCATATTGCCACTATTGTCTTCCGTCTTGTTCGATTGCAAGCAGTTTCCCAACCCAGAGAAGTTTGATCCAGGCCACTTTTTGGATAAAAATGGCAGCTTCAAGAAAACAGAATATTTTGTGCCTTTTTCCCTTGGTAATTACAAATAAACCTGCCCATACCACACACATGCATACTTTGGACAATTTTTAGTTTCACTGAATTTATTACATCACTAAGTAATTCATTGAGATAGCAAAGTCAATCACTTCACACAGTTATAATTCAAATTTAGTTAGAGCCATTTAAGTCTCTCCCCAGTAGAATCAAGTATGTCTTCCAGGGACTATTTTGTGGGTTGGTGATTGAATATAAAGGCAGTTTAATGAAACAAAAACAAGTCAATCCAATTCAGATGTTACATATTACCAGATGACAAAGGGACCTGCCTTTGCAAACTTATGTCTGTTGATCTTTCCTTTGTAAAACTGACTTTTCTGACACAAAGTGTAGCTGTTAGCTGTTACTAATTTTCTGTTTCTTAGAGCTAGAGGCCATCAAAGAGACCTTGGCTATTTCGTCTTCCTTCTTCCTCTCTGAAATGCAGAGCCCCACATACCCTTCCCTCTGTACAAGAGCTGGTTAGCACCCAGTCACTATTTCCCATAAGGTCATAAAGACAATTTATGATTGGTTGAACACATATTTTTTCCTTGTTATTCTATGCTGCTCATTTGATTATTATTTTAAAAAATAACAGTTATTATGTTTTGTTTTGAGCTGCAAAGATAATACTGTTCAACATAAAATAATGGAAAATGCAGAAAAGCAAAATAAAAAATTATCTACAATCTTACCCTACAGAGATGACTGTTAACATTTTACTGTATATACTTCAAACATTTGCTCATGTATATATAATAGATGTATATTTTTAAAATAAAATTTGGTTCATTCTGTATAATCTATTTGATAAACTATTTTTACTTAATATATTGTGATTAAAAAATTGTCCATGGGTTCCAGCAAAATGGCGCTCTAGGCAGAAGCACCACGCCATCCCTCCACAGCAAAGATCCAAAAAACTAAGCTGAACAGAGAATACAACAATCCTGAAACCCTAAAACATCAAATGAAGAGACAAAGAACTCAGCCAAGCACCAAATGGAGTGAGAAAACTGACAGAGAATGAAGAGCGAGGAGAGATTCATACAGAGGTCCCCTACCAGCTAACACAGCGTGGATCCGCCATCTTGGACTCCTATCGGAGACCAGCAAACAGGGGGTACGATAAAGCAGCCTCACGGAGCTTCCAGCGGGAGACAAAACAACCGGTAATTGGAGATATACGCTTTCCCACCCCCCACCCTTCTTCACCCCGACTCGGCCTCCTCTGCTT